TGTATATGTAGAAATAGATAGATATCGAGACAGATTAGATAGATAAATAAAAAGGGAGAATGATAGATAAATAGAACGGATTATAAATAAAAGAAAAATAGCTAGCTAGCTAGAGAAAAATAGATGATAGATCAGTAGAAAAAAATAGAAAGAAAGAAAAATGATAGATAGATAGATAGATAGATAGATAGGAGGAGGGTATGAAGGAAAACATTGGTAAATAAATAAGAGAGGGAGAGCCTGGCTGGCATGGCTCAGTGGTTGAGCGTCGACCTATGAACTAGGAGGTCACGGTTTGATTCAGGTCAGAGCACATGGCTGTATGTATATGTAGAAATAGATAGATATCGAGACAGATTAGATAGATAAATAAAAAGGGAGAATGATAGATAAATAGAAAGGATTATAAATAAAAGAAAAATAGCTAGCTAGCTAGAGAAAAATAGATGATAGATCAGTAGAAAAAAATAGAAAGAAAGAAAAATGATAGATAGATAGATAGATAGATAGATAGGAGGAGGGTATGAAGGAAAACATTGGTAAATAAATAAGAGAGGGAGAGCCTGGCCGGCATGGCTCAGTGGTTGAGCGTCGACCTATGAACTAGGAGGTCACATTTGATTCAGGTCAGGGCACGTGCCAGGGTTGCAGGCTTGATCCCCAGTGCAGGGCATGCAGGAGACAACCAATCAATGATTCTCTCTCATCACTGATGCTTCTATTTCTCTCTTCTTCTTCCTTCCTCTCTGAAATCAATAAACACATTTAAAAAAAGGAGAAAGAGAAGGAAAATGAGAGGGAGGGCGACAAAGCTAATGCGGCCAATCGGTGATTCTGTAGGAAGGGCGTTTGGCACCAGTTGCCAACTAGAGCCGATCCTGCCTGCAGGGGACACGTGGCAACGCCCGGGGACAGTTTTGGTTGCCGTGACAAGGATGGCATCTTGTGGGTGGAGGCAAGGGATGCTGTTTACCACCCTCCTGTGCACAGGAGGCCCCCACACACCGCAAAGAAGTATGTGCCCCAAACGTCAGTAGCGCCACGGCTGAGAAAACCCGATGTAGGGGAATTCTTCGCACGATGGGAGTTCTTCCATTAGTCTATAATTTGAAAGTATTTCAAAGTAAAATGTTTACAAAATAAATCTTATATTTCTGTCTGTGTAGAGACAGAAAGCAGATCAGCGGGTATCAGGAACCGGGGGAGGGAGGATGGGGAGGGGTTGCTAATGCAGTTGGGGTTTCCTTTGGGGGTGATGAAATGTTCTGGAGATGGACAGTGGTTGCTGAACACTGGGGATGTACAAAATGCCACTGAAATGTACACTTTATAATTTCTTTTTAAAAAATATTTTTAGAGCGAGAGGAAGAGGAGATGGAGAGAGAGAAACATTGATGTGAGAGTGAAGCATCAATTGGCTGCCTTCTGGGGATTGAGCCTTCAACCCTGGGCATGTGCCCTGACCAGGAATCGAACCAGCAACCTTTCAGTGCACAAGACAATACCTGACCAACTGAGCCACACTGGCCAGGGCGAAATGTACACTTTGTTCTTCTTCCTTCCTCTCTGAAATCAATAAACACACATTTAAAAAAAGGAGAAAGAGAAGGAAAACGAGAGGGAGGGAGACAGAGCTAATGGCCAATCGGTGATTCTGTAGGAAAGGCGTTTGGCACCAGTTGCCAACTAGAGCCGATTCTGCCTGCAGGGGACATGTGGCAACGCCCGGGGACAGTTTTGGTTGCCATGACAAGGATGGCATCTTTGGGTGGAGGCAAGGGATGCTGTTTACCACCCTCCTGTGCACAGGAGGCCCCCACACACCGCAAAGAAGAATGTGCCCCAAACGTCAGTAGCGCCATGGCTGAGAAAACCCGATGTAGGGGAATTCTTCGCACGATGGGGGCGGCACCCCAACCCCCCGATCGGCCCTGCCCTGTGCGTGACCTGGGGAGGTGGGGCAGGTACCTAGGTATTGGCCTGCCATCTGCCACCTGGGGAGCGGGCCTAAGCCAGCAGGTGGTTATCTCCCGAGGGGTCCCAGACTGTGAGAGGGCACAAGAGGAGCTGAGGGACACCCCCCCACCCGACCCCCTCGCCAGTGAACAAATTTTTGTGCACCGGGCCTCTAGTAGATAAAGAAAAAGGGAGAATGATAGATAAATAGAAATAAAAAATATTTTTAGAGCGAGAGGAAGAGGAGATGGAGAGAGAGAAACATTGATGTGAGAGTGAAGCATCAATTGGCTGCCTTCTGGGGATTGAGCCTTCAACCCTGGGCATGTGCCCTGACCAGGAATCGAACCAGCAACCTTTCTGACCAACTGAGCCACACTGGCCAGTGCGAAATGTACACTTTAAAAGAGTGAACTTGACGATACATGAATTATTGTGGGTGGAATAGTGTTTCCCCCAAATAAGCGTCAACCTGGAACCCGTGAATGGGACCTTATTTGACAACAGTCTTTGGGGATGTGATCAGGTTAAGATGAGGTCATCCTGGATGAGGTAGGCCCTCATCTAACGAGCAAGAAGAAGGAAATTCAGACAGAGAGACACGCACAGGGAGAGGCCAGGAGACAACAGACGCAGAGACTGGAGTGAAGCTGAAGAGCCCAGGGAAGGCCTAGGACAGATTCTCCTCTACACCTGAGCGCGGCCCTGCTGACACCTTGACTTCAGACTTCTGGACTCCAGCACTGTAAGAGAACAGAGTTCTCTCGTCCTAAGCCAGCCTCCCAGTTTGTGACTTGTTACAGCAGCCCTAGGAGATGACTGCATGCCTTGTATGTCAAGTTTGAAAAGAGGACCTGGGTTGCAGGTTTGATCCCCAGCTCTGTTCGGGGGCACTGTGTGGGAGGCAACCAACCAATGGATGTCTCTCTCTCTCTCTCTCTCTCTCTCTCTCAATCCCCCCCATTCCCTTCCACTTTCTCTAAAAAAAAAAAATCAATGGGAAAAGTATCCTTGGGTAAGGATTAATAAAAATAAATAAAATAGATTAATTAATTAAATAAAATAAAAAGAGTTAAACACGGAGAAAAAGGAACCCTTGTGCACTGTTGGTGGGATTGTAAATTGGTACAGCCACTATGGAAAACAGCATGGGGGTTCCTCAAAAAATTAAAAATAGAGCTGCCATATGGACCCAGCAATTCCACCTCCGGGTATTTATCTGAAGAAATCCAAAGCACTAATTGGAAAAGACATATGTGCCTCTATGCTCATTGCAGCATTATTTACAATAGCCAAGATATGGAAACAACCTAAATGTTCATCAATGAATGAATGGATAAAGAAGAGATGGTATCCTATATAATAAAAGTGCAGTATGCAAATTGTCCCTGCGACCAGGAGTTTGTCTGGGAGTTTGACCAGGGGGCGGGGCTGGCCGGGGGAAGGGAGGGCAGCCACTAGGGACCTGGC